TAAGCATTTAAGTTAGATTGAAGAAGACGAAAGATGCATATGATATTTTTATTTTAATACATCATATATCTAAATATAACGTATCTCAACCGCTTTAGATTATTTTATCACGCTTTCTTTGAATTTTAATATCATGGTCGACTTCCATACTCTACCAAGTCAATTGTACAAATTATTGGGTTTTTAATGAATTATATCTTATTTATGATAAGTTAAAAGACGAAAAAAAAAAATCAACATTTGGGTAGGATTAAAAATGATAATTAATCAAAATGGGCAACCGGGATCAAATTTAACCACTTCGAGCTCGCGAGCTAAATGAAACATGGATAAATTATGGTCTTTTTTGTTTTTAATTTTAATTTTAATTTTGATAAGATTAATATTTATACGACAGTGGAAATAAGGAGAGAGGGGGAAGAACCAGATGTTCACAGGCTGTATGTATATCCTCCATTGACAAAATAGATACCCTAAGAAAGAAAGGAAAAAAAAGAAAAAAGATTTAATGAAGTATATGTGCTCATCCCAAAGGGATCCATGCAAGTGGGGCCGTCTGATTCTCAAAATGGACGGCCATGATGCTCCCATTTCAAGATGCTCACATTTTCCATCTTCGTTACATAAGTTCTAACTAATTTGTTTCATTTTTTAGACTATACACTTATACAAAATGATATTCTTAAGCAAAACCTTATGATCTTTAAACATAGCTAATCTCAATTAGATTAAATTAAATTAAATTAAAAAAAAAACTCTCTCTCTCTCTTATTTTCTTTGCCCAAAATGTTTATAAATTCACTCCCAATTCTTCTCTGAAATTCACTCCCAATTCTTCTTCTTCTTCTTCTTCTTCTCCTCTCATGGCGGCTTCCAATTCTGTCGAGGTTAAGCACGTCCACGTCATCACTCCGGCCGACCCCCCTCCACCGTGTCTCCTCCCCCTCTCCGCCATTGATTCCCAGCTCATGCTTCGCTTCCCCAATGAGTATCTTCTCATTTATACTCCCTCCCCTGCTTTAGAACGCTCCACCATTTCTTCTTCCTTTCGAGCCGCATTGTCCCAAGTTTTGGTTTCCTACTTCCCTCTTTCCGGTCGGGTTCGGGAGAGGCCCGACGCCTCCGGTCTGGAGGTTGTTTGTCGCTCTCAGGGGGCGCTTTTTCTTGAGGCCGTTTCGGATTGCTACTCGGCCGAGGACTTCGACCGCCCGCCTCCCTCTATCGGCAAGTGGCGGGGGTTTTTGACGTTTCCTGAGGAGGATGCGTTGGATGGATCTCCACCCTTGGTTGTTCAGCTGACGTGGCTTAAGGATGGAGCGGCGGCGGTTGGGGTTGGGCTTAGTCATTCTCTTTGCGATGGAATTGGTAGCGCCGAGTTTCTCAACTCCTTTGCGGATTTCGCTGCCGGGAGACTCCGCGCCGCCTCTGAGTTGAAACCGCCTCCGGTTTGGGATCGGCATTTACTCAATCCGCAACCCCAATTTTGCCACCGTCGGTATTCATCTCCGCCGCCGGTGTTCCAGCGTGTACCCGATCTCTGCCGGTTCATGTCCCTGTTTACCGACGAACCGCTTGTTCCCACTGCTGTTACGTTCGGGAAAACGCATATCACGAGCCTGAAGTCGCTCGCTCACTCCACGCGCCGCCCCGGTGTACCGGCGTTCACGGCGTTTGAGGTTCTTGCTGCTCATATATGGCGGAGCTGGGCTAGATCCTTGAAGCTCCCTCCAAATCAAACGCTGAAGCTTCTCTTTAGCATTAATGTACGGAAACGGATCAAACCGAATCTCCCCTCTGGTTACTACGGCAACGCCTTCGTCCTCGGCTGCGCTCAGACCACCGCCGGCGAGCTGGCGGAGAAGAAGCTGGACCATGCCGCCAGTTTAGTGAGGGAGGCGAAAGAGAGAGTCGGAGACGAGCACGTGAGACACGTGGCTGAGACATTGAGCGAGTCGAGGGCGTGTCCAGACTTGATCGGCGTCCTTATACTTACCCAGTGGTCAAGGTTGGGGTTAGAGAAGGTTGACTTCGGAATGGGCCGGCCGGTTCATGTAGGCCCGATCTGCGGTGACCGGCACTGCTTTTTGTTGCCGGTTAACAATCAGACGGACGCTGTAAAAACGATATTGGCGGTCCCCACGTCCGCCGTTGACAAGTATGAATCAATGGTCAGAAACGTGGCCACGTGAACTCACTTGATCTTGACACGTGGTTGAATTGACTTGCAAAAAAAATGTCTCTTGTTTTTTTCCCTTCTTTTTTGCGTTCTAATATTTTTATTTATTTAGTTTTTCTGTCCTTCGATTGCACTTGCAAAAATGGTCAAACTCGTACTCAATGGTCTCTATCTATCCCTATGTTTGTGTTTATGAATACACAATATGCACATGATTCCTTTAATTTCCATCTTATCCTATCTTATAACATAATTATCTTGTCTCATCTTTTTGTTACATTAATAACACATACTCATTTGATATTTATATTAACGTCATTTTCATGTTTTTAGGTTGTGTCCTATATTGGTCTAGCAACATGATACAATATGGTCCTCATCATCATACAACATGCTCCATATGGAAAACATCGTTATATTAAGATAAAACATCATGTAATCATTATGCTTATCATATCGCCATAAAATGCATCAAACATATCAAGTACGTCATAAATCGAAGTCTATATATTATACACATCATCATGCATCATAACTCATACATCAACATATACTAGTATACGGCATCATACGATATAACTCATACATTAGCATATATTCATACATCATCATATACTAGTATACGACATCATACTATACAACTCATATATCATCATATACCAGTATACGATATCATACGATACAACTCATACATCATCATAACTCATACAATTTCTAATTTATCCTATAGTAAGACCACTTGGTTGGTCTTGGCTGAAGTACTCCCTAAATTAGCTAAACCTAAGCTTCCGTCTTTCAAGAGCTACTCCAAAGGTTGCTGGGGTTTATTTCTTATCAAACAGTTTGTCACATTTCGATATTATTTCATAATTAAATTAATAATTCATTAATGAATGTGAAATGAAGCCCCAAAATGTCCACAATTACCCTATCGGGGTTAAAAACAGGTCGAGGAGGGTCGAAACAATAGAAACTGGGTCAAAAGTTGAAAACTGAGCTGAATAGCCGTCAGGAGCCACCGTCGCCGCGCCGTCCAAGCCGAAGGGCTGCTTGCGTCGCGGCTTGACACGTGGCAGCACCATAGCGTGCCACGACAGCGAAGATGTCTCGGGTCGAGGCGCGGGTTGAGGTTCAGGTCACGGGTTGGCTCGCGGGTCCAAGCGCGGTTCGGGTTGCGAATTCGGGTTGGCTCGCGGGTCGTCCGCTGTAGATGGGCTTACTGGACTTCAGTTCGCGGGCTGGGCCGCGGATGAGTTTGGGCTACTGGGCTGGTTTTTGGGTTTTGGGTCGAGCCAAAATTGGGCCTCAGGTCTGTAGGTTTGTTTCGGGTTGCAGAGCGGGCGCGGGTTGGACCGGCCTCTTCGACTCTCACTGCTATTTAAAGCATCTTTCCGATTTTAGGTCGATTTATCATCCAATTCCAAAACAAAATCGCCGAAAAGGCAGTAATAGATTCTCTCCCAAACAAATCGTAAAACACAGTCTGGAGCAGAGAAATTCAAAACAAACAAAAATGATAATGGAATGCAGAACTCGAAAAGAGAACATTACAAGAACAAATTACGCATTCGAAGTTCAAAGAAGAGAGGTTCCTCCGTAGATATCGAAGAGGGTAAAGAGAGCGATACCGTTGAGTTGAAGCCGGTGAGAAGATTCAGAGAAACTGCATATCTGTGTGTAGTTTCAAGGCTCAAACATGGAGGAGGATTCAGAGAGTAAGGCAGCTCCTCCAATGGCCGATGATTCTCTCTTTTTTGATATTCTTATGGGTAAAATGGTGGATGGCCTGTAATCAGAATCAAGAGGATCAGGGATTTCCCCGTTCACGCTGCATTTTGGCGCGTGTATCACAATCCTGGTCTGAGCTTAGTAATATCGGCTCGATTTCAGGGAAAAAATCGAGAACCGAACTGAACCAATGTCGAATGAAAGACAAAACCAACAGTTTGGTTTTTCCTCGGCTCGGTTCTCGATTCTCATTTTTAAAATCTCAATTCATTGAAGAAAAATTGATGAAAATCCTATTGTTGCAATGATGAGATGGAGAAAAATTGTATACAGACCATATAAATTCCAATATGTTCAAATTTGATTTGGAATCACAACATTTCTATCATAAAAATTGTTGGGATCTTTCCTGGTATGTAGGTTGCCGAGGGAGATGCCGAGATGACCTTACTTGCAATGTTGGTTGTTGGTCAATCTGAGAGAGGCAGAGAAGTAAGATGGTGCCAATGGACATAGGAGTCAACATGGCTAAGAGGGAGACAGAGGGACAAAGGAGTCAGCATGGCTAAGAGGGAGACAGAGGAGTCAGCATGGCTAAGAGGGAGACAGAGAGAGTCAACATGGCTAAGAGGGAGACAGAGAGTCGAGAATGAGATGGTTGATGACTCATGCAAACCAAAGTTGATTTTGGAAATAGAAAACTTCTACTATGGACATACAAATACTAGTTATGATTAATCGGCCTTGGAGGTATACTTATAAGCAATTGTCGTTGAAAAAGAGCCATAAAGCTCATGCACGGAAGATGAAGGAAGGCCTAAGCAATTTGCTAAGATGGAAAAATGCATCAATATATTAGAGGAAAGAACCCACACATTTAGATCTAGACCACTTTGAATCAGAGCTTCCTTAGCCACATCATCATTCAGAATAAGGTTCTAATATGACAGAACTTAAAATTTTGAAGTCAAAATCAGCTAAGCTATAGGCACTAAAGTTAAAAAAATGAACTTTTATAGTTCACTACGAGTTTATTGTTCTGTAGAGAGTTAACTTTTTCTACCATGCAAAATCAGAACTATATAAAACACGATAATACCTAAGAACCGTATGATTTCCATTCCTAATTGTTGGGAGTCCATGGTACAATGGGAGATGGAGTTTCTAAACCAAAATTTGAGAAATCAGAGTTTGTCACATTACCAGGAGAGAACAACCATACCGGAATCCTCCTGCCTTGTTTAGACTTCAGAAACTCGTATAATGAAGCAGATCAGCAGATCAGTTACAGTGTTCGTGCAAATACTCGCTCCTCACCTCGAACTTGAGCCTAAAATTGGTCGGATTGCTGCCTTGAAATCTTCATAAAACTTCTTCTCAGAAAATCTCTCTGCACGCCTCCTTGCCGCAGCAGCCATTTTGAGTCTCTCAGTTTCTGGCATTTTTACAACCTGTAGAATAGCATCTGCATATTCATTCACATTGGTGGCAAGGAATCCAGTTTGTTGTTCGTCTTCTTCGAGAACTATGTCCATCTTTGGTCCAGCAGAGTTATGAGCTGAGAGTAAAGTAGAAATATGAGCCTCACATTAATACGCCTGTAAAAATATTCAGTGAAGATCTCTAAACCAAAAGAAATATAAATAAAAAGTCTCCCACCAATTGGGATTGCTCCTGCAGCCATGTATTCTACCACGCTTATTCCAAAATGTTCATCTGTCATGGAATGAATTCCCGCCACAGAACCTCCTAGAAGTCCCACCAAGTCTCTGCATGAGTCCAAGAGTTTCAGAGTTTATATAGAAAACAGAAAAGGTCCGCAGTTTGCAGTTTAAGATACAGTAAAAAGCCCAAATCAGGAATTACGACGGTGCTGTAACCAATGGAGCTGGTATACCATAAAGCAGCAATGACGAAAGGTCGTAATGGGTACCAGTCAGGGACAAAGGAAATATTTGGAATTTGAGGTAGAATTCATTTAATCATGAGATGTTCCAGTGGTAGCAGAGTCCAGGACGAATCAACGTTTATCGTTGTCATATATGGATAGGCTTCTACTAGGGAGTGTTTCGATCCTAGGTTGAAAGTTACCTTTCAAAGTTTACTTGTATGGGGGTTATCTTGTTTCATGGGCTTTTTCATAGAGGCGGTTGGCTGGCTAACCAAACCTCTTTGTACCCTCGTTTCATAGATATTCTTCTTATGAGAATGACAAATTTCTCTCAAGATGGTACAAACAAAAAAGTATGTAATTGACAATGAATTACTCCCCAAATTTAACTAAGAATATTTTGAATTCCACACCCTAATCATGCAGATTAATAGCCATATTACGAGGAACACCAGAGGCCAGTAATGAGGAACCTTTCCTACACTACAACAGTACTAAAGGAAACTCTGACCTGTACATTAAATTCTTGTAGAATTCCACATTCTCGTCAACCTTCAGTTCAATAGCCTTGTTTTTCAAACTTTGGAGTCTTTCTTCATCTGATTTATTGCGACAACTGCCCACAAACTGGAGCTTAGGCCGCACTGAACTTGAATCTAATTTCTTGATGGCAGCTGAAAATGCCTCAAGTTGGAGTAAATGCGCCTGAGATGATCAATTTCAGTCATCAAAGATTAGCTAACTGCTGAAGGCCCTAAGAATGAGCCAATAGAATTTTAGTACCTTGGATTATAAGGTTCATATAAGAGGGCCCACCTTTTCTGGACGAAATTGAGCAACAGATATAATTATGGGAGTTTTAGTGGGTCGTTCTAAAGGAAGTGCCTGTGCAGATAACAACTTGTTATACGCAGCTGTTGGAGTCAACTCATCAATAGAGAAGAATGAAGGGAGAGAGAGAACTGAAAACTACGAGGAGCAAATAAAACCCAACAAAATTTCTTCAGGGAAAACCAGAGGACAGACCTGTAATACAGAAGTATCACATGGGGGATAGACTCGTTTTATACGGTCAGGAATTCTCCATAGTTTTTCGATGTGAGATTGAGTCCATGAAGAATTGACCATCGCAAGTTGTGTAAATGAGCCCACAAATCCATACATCCAGCTAAAAAGAACATAATAGATAACTTTGCACTGAGAAAGCCACGAGCTGCCACAGAGAAAACTTGTTACACACAATATTTGCTAGAAAGTTCTCCATGAGACAAACGCAATTATATTGACTAAAAGATCACCAAATAACAAGGATGTCAGATGATTCGGAACATGCAAGACGGATATTGAAAATAAGATTGCTAAAGCACCAAATTCACAGTTGTTGTACTACAGATGAGTAGTCATGTCCCAGCCCAAGGAAACAAGAAGGAAAAAAGAACATAAAAAGTTGGGGGAAAGTGAATCCAATTAAGTAGAACTTGCTATCACATAAATTCAACATCGAATGAAAAGAGTAAAAATTTATTGCTAACCATCTAGGCTTTCTAGAAGTCCTTCCTGATATCAATAATAGGGGACAAATTAGGTGATTGCACACCAAGAACATTAAGGCCAGAAGCATAAATAACTTTGAGGACATCCATTGTTTCTAATAAGAAGTTAAGAAACAGACCTCTTAGCAATTAAGGCGTCATTGTTATACATTGAACTCCTCCCACGAACCCGAGATAGCATGTCTAAGCTGATTGTCGGATAATGTGTATAACAAACAACGATGCAACCGAACAACCGGGCAAGGGGATAAGTAAAGGCATATCCACTAGTGTCAAAATAATACAGAGGAGTGAATTTGCATAAGGCCTCCCATGAGAGATAGATAGAGCCAAAACTCTGACCAATCATAGTGAAGCGAGGATAAGTTGTTTCTTCAATCCACTTCCTTTTACAAAGATGCACAACCTGAGCAATAAATGAATTGAACAGAAGAACAAAGTAAATCGAATTTCCTTAGCAACACCAGTGAATCGGATATAGTTTCAGTGAAACGAAAAGAGGGAAAATGGTATAGAAACTCGCTTCAAGAAGATTCAACTGCACAAATGGTTCCAAACTAGATTATTCTAGAAATATGCATCATCTAGGGCGGTGATTTCAAAGAAAGACAAAAAAAATCACCTTAGGTGGAAAAAGAAGTTTGACGCCAAATCGATCGACAGCACGAGCCATCAAGCTCTCTGGTGAAGCATCATGATCGCCAGTGAAGACGACGCATTCAAGGCTAGGGTTCTCATCCTGAATAGCTTTGACGGCGCACCACAGAACTCTCTCACCGCCTCCGCCATCGTTGGTGTAGGGATGGAAGAATCCGACTGCTCTCTTCCGGTTCCGACGGCTGTTCAGAATTCCTAAACTAATTCTTCGAATTATGGCAACGAGAGCTATGAGCAACGCCCACAACAACACCTCTCCAGCCATTAACTTCAAATATCGCAAGAAATACGATCGGAAGCTCTTGAGATGAATCGAATTCACGCAGTAGGTTATCGATCATCTATCTTTCCCTTTTCAGGCCGGGACATTGCGGTCAGTCGGCAGGGTAAATTGGTCTTTACACTTTTCTCCCATTTCCTTTTGAAAAAAATAAAAAATAAAAAATTCCATTTATTTCTCTAATACGTTTAAGTAATTTTCACGTTTTGTTCTTTTATTTTTCTTCACTTTTTCTAGTAATAATTATATGATTTTTTTTACTAGTTTGGTAAAACAATAATTAAACTTTTTAAAAATAAAATAAAGTGAAATAGTTATAAATCATTAATATAGGTAAAGGTGATAATATTTTATCGAGTTGAACTATATTTTATTTTCTAAATTCGTTAAATATTTTGTACATATTAAATTTCTTATTTATTTTTTAAATTGATTGAACTAAAAGAATTTAGCGGAATTCTATTTGGTAGGTTCTTATATAAAGTTAAATAACTTACTATCATCCGAACCTAAAGTAATATTTGTATGAAAATTTTGGTTTTCATATTTTTAATTATATTACAAAATATAAAATACAACTCTATTCACATGCCACAACACATTAGCATGCTTCCCTTGCAACTCATTTCAAAAGTTTTGTTATTGTTATAGAGCTTCCTTCGCATGTAGTCCACGTGGCATATGTTTTCTTTTAATAGGGCGTTTTTTAATTAAAGAAAATCCAAGAGAAAAAAAAAAAAAAAAGGGTAAAAATGGAATTTGGTTCGAGTTAAAACTATCCTGGTGTATATTTGTGTACAACAGCTCAAGCTCATTACCACTAAATATTGTCCGTTCTCACAGTTTAAAACACGTCTACTACGGAAAGGTTTCCAGACCCTTATAAGAAATGTTTCGTTCCACTCTCTAATCGATGTGGAATCTCACAATTCATCTATTTGGGGGCCAACGTATTCGTTGACACATCGTCTGTTGTTTAACTCTAATACCATCTGTGACATCAATAGGGATCTCGCGCGAATGAAACTCAAATATACGGTTGAAAAGGATAAATACATCATTTACAAACATGCCTCCAAATATTCTAAGAAAAGTTCAGGATCTACGTCTCATAATTGGATCAGATTTGTAAATATTCTTAGCATAATTCATAAATACTAATAAAAAATAATACAAAAACAATAAATTTTACAGTTTGTAATTAATTATTATTAAAGCAGGATTTGACTAAATTTACAGTAATTATGGACTCAAATTTTTGAATTCGATTATGTAACCTCACACCATTTGAAGATTGCTTGAGTTATCGGCGGCGCGGAGGGAGATCCGACAAAGCGGGCAGCTCGACTGCAACCGGAGCCACTGGTCCACGCACTCCGAGTGGAAACAATGATGGCACAGCGCCAGAATCTTAACCTTCTCGCCGTCTTCAAACACGCCCAAGCAAATACAGCACTCCGCCGCGGTGGCGGCGGCGTCTACTTCCTCCGCCGCCTTGTACAGAGTTATTGATTGGCAGTTAATTGTCGCCTGGTCGAGCCCCTGTTGCGGCGGCGACCTGGAGGACCGGACGCCAGGGACGGAAGCAGAGAAGGTCGTGAGGCTATGGTATCGGCAGACCCATCGAGCGTAAAGGAAAATAAAAGTCACGAGAAGGATGACGGCGAATAGAACGGCGATGAAGAAGAAAGTCCGGCCGCGGATTTGGAAGATCCGATCGTCGAGCTCCGTGAAGTGCCAGTGGACGGACGGGGGGGCTTGGAGTGTCGCCATTACAACCTCCAACTCATCAACACAAACAGAAACAGAGGAATCCCCACGGCGGCGGATACGGTGTCCGGAGAATCGTAGCGGCGGAGGAAAAGGGAAGGAGGAAGAAGGGGAAAGGTTCTTGGGCTTTTTGGAACAGTGTCAGATATTTTTTTCCCTCAAAGAGTAAATAATTGAGTTTGGATATTTTTTTTTTGTCGATAAAGATAGTTACGTTTTGGTCATACAGATATTATTCAAAATATCATAGCGTGCTCACTCGCATAAAAAGCGCGTGTATAACACGACTTTATACTTTAATTAAGGTAATTATAAAAAAAAAACATTAATTAGGTCGAAAAGTATTGTTAAAATGATTTAATATATTATTAAATTACTATATTATAAACATATATGCATACAATTTCAACAAATTTTGACCCACCATCACAAAAGTCTTACACGTTGGCTGCCTATCTTGTCCAAACACGAATTTAATGAAATTTAAGTCTTATATGTTGACTTATTTTGTAACGATCTATGTTTAGGATTCAATACCTGAAGATCTCGATATTCTTCTACATCCCTTGCGACGTGGTCTTGCTTCTAAGAGTGAAGACTATCTCAATAAACCAACATCGATTTTTTCAACATGCTTTTTTCTCACCCACGTGTTTCCTGATGAAATTTTCAAGAAATCATCCAACATAGGACTGCTCTAAGCAAAACATGTTTAACTTTTAAGTTTCTATGATCTAATCACTAAAAAAAAGTTCAACATTCAAGATGAGTTGGACTTGGAGTAGGCTTAGAGGATCAGCTCAATAGTGGTTTCGATAGTTGAAAAAACATGTCTATAGCATAATTTCGAGAACTAACACGAGATTTCATTATCTAATTTTTAAGAGGGTGAGATAAAAAAATATAATATATATTTATTAGACATTTTTTAAAATAAAATAAAAAACGAGGTATCTATTATATATTATAATATTCCAAAAAAAGCATTTAAAATATTTTTCTAATTAAGCATCGAGAACTATGTACCCTTAGGCCCATGGGCTAATTGTTTTGGTTCTTTTTCAAATACTATTTTCGTTCATATAAATTATTATCTTTGTTAGTGTTCTTATTTTCAAACATTTTCTTTTATTTGCTTTCCATGTCTTTTGAAATTAGTGAGTATATATAAATATAATAATTTGAGGATTATAGCTCGAAACTTGATTGGTTATCGGTTGTCGATTTGTAACAATTGAGGGTAGACCCCATGTTGATCGTCATTAGTAACTCTCTCTCTTAGACATACACGATGAAACACATGCACCTAATTAAGCTATGAGATCTATGCCAACATGTTTTCAAGCTTATAGATGAAAAAAGGGATTTTTTTTTTTAATCCAACTACCTGACTTATAGCTCGAAATCCAAAATCAAGACCTCAATCTTTTAAAAGATACGTTCACCAACATCGGCTAAGATTTTGTGAGACATTACAGATCAGACCACAGCTCGACATGGTTAAAATTGTTGGGCAAATAAGGGAGAAACAATGAACCAAACAAACGAACGAATTGAGCTACTTTTGCAAGGAAGACACGTGAAGGGTAAAACATGAAACAGAGACAAACAATTTTAGGCCAAAACAACAGCAAAGACAGAAGTTGTTGCCTATGATCCATGCAAATCCATGCACATAAAATATACACACAACACCATTTTTATTTATTTATTTATATATTTATATATTTATTTGGGTTTTAATTATTTAAAAAGAAAAAACAGAAAAGAAAAGAGAAAATCATGTGTGTTCTTATCTCCGACCTAAAATCCCATATCTGAGATTGCTTTTGGAAAGGGGTTTATGGCTTTTTGAGAGATATGAATCAATATCTTTTGGGGCCCTACTCCATTTTGACCTCTTATTTGCTTTCTTATCGTCCCTTTTCCGTTCTGATATCATATTCAAAATTGTCTTAAAATATGTGCCGATACATAGATGGATCTACAGATTTGTTATTGATATTAGATTATGATCGACGTACAGTACAATATATTCATTGACATGTATCTCTATCGCTAACGACTATGATATTAAGTCAGCTTGTACATAACTCAACTGGTTTAGAATATTATTATCTCGACCCATCTTAAAAGATGCCTTTGCCCGTTTATGTCTCTCTCTGGGAAGTGAGAAAGACAAAAAAAGAAGATGGTGAGTAATTAGGGCATTACAAATTTTATTGTAATTAAAATGGTATATATATATATATATATATATATCATCACAATTACTCCAACTTTAAATTCTATCTTTATGTTATTTTTTTTCTAAAGATATAAAGTTGGCAAAATCTTTGAAAAATAAAACCCAAAAAAGGGGGAAAAAAGTAGCTTACTTGGGAACTTCAATTTGAGTTGATAGTCTTGAATATTTAATAAACTAAATCATCCCTTTTACTGCTTTTGTAATTATATAGTTTAAATAAATATATATTTTTTTAATTTTATTTTTAATAAATTTATATCATCCTGATTTGATATAAATAAACTAAAAATAGACGAGTAGAAAAATACAAAAAAGTTTGAATTTTGAGACATGTTATTATGGACATGTTGCTGTAGTAACTTTAGACGTGTCGAATGCAAGACACAAATTTAACAATAATTTCTATAATAAAGTTTTCTAAAAGTTGAATGAAAAAGTTTGAATTTGTAGATCAAAACAAAAGAAAATGAAAAAATTAATTAAAGCATGCGTAGAGTAACTAAAATAAAATTTCAGTTACCGACATTAATTTTATATATATATATATATATATATATATATATATTTATAATAACAAATCAAGAATCCTTGCCCTCTATCTTTTTAGGAACTTTAATTGTGATTTTTAATGAAGATGAATAAGGAATCAATGATTAAGATCATGATTCCATTTTTGGAGTGCCAATGGTATATATATATGTGGCTTATGATGTAATTAAAAATTTTGTATCTTAAAATAAATTAATTATATTTTTTTAATTAAAAAATGGTAAAAGATCCATGCTAAAATTAATATTAATTTTTTTTTTTTTTGTGAAAGTATATAGTAATCGGCCAAAGCGGAAAATATCTATCAAAGGTAGGCTTGAACTGTTATAAATGGTATCAGAGCCAGACATTGAGCGATGTATCTAATAGTGGGCTTGAGTTGTTACACGTGCAACCCAATAAGCCTAAGAGAAGCTCAATTCAACTTTGAGACCAAATAAAAAATCTACTAAGCTAAGAAGCTTGAAAGCCTGCCTCGAATATCATAGGATAAAAATTATTGGTCGATAATTTTATCCCAAGTTACAATAATACACACAT